ATGTACGTGGTCTATGCTACAACAGCCAGAGTACCAATCCTTGTTGATGGCGGTGTGTACATGATTGGAGCAGGTGGCTATGGAGGTTTTTTTTCAACAGGGTGGCAGCATAACCTATGAATCGATCCTCTATCCCCTTCGACATAGGCATATATAGTGTCGGTCTAGGAATGACGCCAAAAATCTCTGTGTCTACATTGCGTTTGCCTTCTCCAAACCATTCCCTTTACCTTCATATGCAATGTTTTACTTTCCATTGCTGTACTCTTAGAATTGCATGCGTAGGTTGATTGCTTGACTTGTGATAAGTTGCTAAAATCTGCCAAGACTTAAAATTGAGAAAATGTTAGATTTTTATTTGGTCAAGTAGTCTAATCACCCCCCCCCCTCTAGACCTACTTTCGATCCTGCAGGGAGGAAGGGGGAGGAGGAGAGGGGTGGGTGAAATTAAAGGTGGTAGGCACGCCTAGTAGTAGCGATGTATTCTTGACAGCGCTGTTAGCAGTAGCGCTTGTCCAGAGCAGCGCTACTACTAAGTGGGGCCCAATAGTAATAGCGGTGTTGCCTTACCAAGCGCTACTGCTAAATTCTTAGCAGTAGCACTGTATTTTGGGTCGTGCTGCTACTGCAGCTAGCGTCGGTGGGCTCAATGAGAACCACTTAGCAGTAGCGCTTTTCTGGTTCCAACGCTACTGCTAAGGCCTTAGTAGTAGCGCTACTTGGAACCAATGCTACTGCTAATTAGCAGGAGCGCCTGTTCTTTTCCAGCGCTACTACTGATGTCCTAGCTATAAGCATTTTCCTGGTAGTGGTTGGATGAGATTATCATGTAATCGAGTTAGTTTTATCAGGGCTTGATCCCTAGTATCCACTATGTTCTGAGATTGATATTGCTATGACTTTGCTACACTTAATGCTTGTCACTAGGGTCCGAGTACCATGATTACAGATATGAACCATTTATGTTTTCACCAATATATTTGTGTTCTGGATCCTACCATGCAAGTCGTATGCATCTATTACGTGTTATGATCCGCATACCCCAAGGTGACAATAATTGGGATTCTTTCCGGTGATTACCGTAATTTGAGGAGTTCATGTATTCACTATGTGTTAATACTTTGTTTCGGTTCTCTATTAAAATGGGACCTTAATATCGCTTAGTTTCCCTATGGACCCCGCTGCCATGAGAGGGTAGGACAAAAGATGTCATGTAAGTTCTTTTCCATAAGCATGTATGACTATATACAGAATACATGCCTACATTATATTGATGAATTGGATCTAGTTCTGTGTCGCCCTATGACTGTTACATGATGAATATTATCCAACAATATCACCGATCCAATGCCTATGAGCTTTTCACGTATTTATCTTTATTAAGTTACTACTGTTGCTGCCACTGTTACAATTGGTACAAAACTACTACTGTACCATTACTGCTACTATTGCAATTGTTATTATTGCTACCGAATTATCATATTACTGTGCCACTAATCACTCTGCTGCAGATATTTAGTTCTTGGTTGAACTGATCACTCTACTTGCAAATATTCTTGGGCTCCCCTTGTATCGAATCAATAAATTTGGGTTGAATACTCTATTCTCGAAAACTGTTGCAACCCCCTATACTTGTGGGTTATCAAATCATTTTTCTAGCACCGTTGTGGGAGAGCATAGTTATATTTATTGAGTCACTTGGGATTTATATCTGTTGATCACTATGAAGAAACTTAAGAATGATAGAACTAGTGGGCAAGAGCGTGGAAGCTAGTGTCAATATAAGTATGGCAGTGAACAAGTGGAAGGCTAAAACAGTGCAAAGAAGCCGGAGCTAACCAATAAAAACATCAAACCATCCGCATAGGACGTGGAGACATCCACGAAGAAACATGTGAATGACCAACACCTCTTACAACAGAACCATGATGCAGGAGACATCCTAGTCATATGGTAAGTTTGTTTGCCCGGAAGGACGTTTCAATACATATGAGAAGGACCCTGAAGCGCCCACCATTCTAACCCTGATGCAAACCCTACCTTCGTCCGAAGAGCTAGTTGCAACCTGACAACCCATCCATCACTGCCATCGAGGTTCGAGAGCTAGTTCGCCCGGATATAGTTGCGCTTCGTTCGAAACTAGAGTGTGGGTAGGGTGTTCGATTGCATACTGTAGGGGGGCGATGACGAGCCTGGAGGAAGTGCACTATTAACAAAGTGCTTGGGATCGAGGAGGTGAAGGAGCTAGATGCACAACTTGCTAATTTATGGGTGAAGACGAAGACGTTGGAAGAATTGACTGCCCTCCCGATGAATGTGGTAGATCTTTTTTCTGAACTGGAACACCTTGCATTCCAAATTTACGTCGGGCCGTCCAAGTCGGCGGTCAGACGGTTACATTGGGAGGGAGATTTGATAGATACGTTGGCCCATATGAGCACTACATTTACCTATGGCCGCCATTTCAGGGGCTGGCTTGTTACAAGCACGGGAACAATGGATGACACTCCACTCACTAAACCCATCTAAAGCAAAAACCATGTCTCGCGGAAAAGAGCCCCTAGGGCAGATCGGTCTAGCATGGTAGTGTTGATGGCTTGGGCAAGTCCTAGACAGTTAGTCTCGAAAATGACACGACCCATACTATGATCTTCAGCAAGGTTGATGGCGTTCAGGAGGGCAGTAGCTTCAGCATGTAGAGCATCACTCACTTGCTCAATCTTGCCAGCAGCAGCAAACAACACATCACCCGTTAACCCATCCTGAACTCTGGTTAGAGGCATTAAAGGCTCCATCAAAATTAATTTTCACCTTGTCCACATTCGGTTTGACCCAGTGTGTTTGGGCGACCCTTACTTTCCTTGGACATGCACAGAATTCACGCCATTCAACAACATGCTTCTGCAGGAGGAAATAAAACTCTTCAGGCTTGGCTGTATTCTGCTTAGATCATCTCCAACAGACGCGCTATATAAGCGCCGCGAAACAGGAACGTCAGATCAAACGGTTATAATCGCTGGAATAGGGTGGCTACACGTTGACCGGCGCCTAGTACTCAACAGAACGTTAACACGGGATTCGATGTTCCTTCGATAGGACGCCGCGAGTTCGGTTAGTACCGTTTCAGTGGTTGGATGGAAGTTTCGTTCTGGGCGCGCCGGCCGTGTGCTTGTTCTACTAGTGGTTGTGGCGCCATCATGTGGCGCTGCTTCAGAGAAAGTTGTGCGCACGTTTTTATTTAAAAAAAAATACATAGAGTTCTTGCCTTCGTCTAAAAAAACTTCTCAGAAAAAATATCCTTACATTCATCTATAAAAAATAAAAAAAATAAAAAAATTACCACTGGAGCCTAAGTGCGGGTGCCACTTTGCATAACCTTCCACTTAAAAAATAACGGAGGTCCTCACCTCCATCTAAAAAGAAAAGGAAATACATTTAAAAAACAATCCACATCTTCATCTAAAAAGAATTTCAAAAGATTTCTCACCGCGGCCAACCAGCTTGCGCCACATGGCATTGCTGGTTGGCCGTCCTTCACGCGTAGCTTAATTGGTTTAATGTTTCTTTGGATCGTTCTAAGCATATATCATTGAAAGAAAACACCACCAACTTCTGTAGACATGTGGCCTAGTTAAGAGAATCTACAATCGCATCCTCAAATTCTCCTCAAACGTCTGCGGACTCATCCAGTCAATGACTGAACAGAAGAGAGAAGAAGAAAAGTGACCCAACCACGACCCCTCATATCATTCATATACGCCCGGACTGTCCGTGAACCCTCATATTGAGTACAAGTATAGGGATGATATAAGGGCTCGCGGACGCGTCCGGTTAGTCCGACACGTAGCACGCGACCCACTCCAGACCACCTTTTCTCTATCTTTCTTTATTCATCTTTTCTCTCTCTCTCTCTCTTCAAATCCACCAATCACGTGCAAGTGACTGGACATATGAGGGAGAAAATGAGGAGTGTGATTGCATACACGGACAAATAGGGGCTCAAAACGAACATGCTTGGTCACTTACCCGGCGTCCGCATACGTTTCAGGCCAGATTTGCTAAGTCCAGCTATAAATGCTCTCCAAGTTAATTAAGTTGAAACGTGTCATACCTGGTTTTGGCCATCTGTCCTTACTAGCACCAACTCAGCATGATACCACAAGTCTTCACTTTGCTTCCTCAAGAAAGCAAGCAAGAAAGAAATAAAGAAAATAATCATGTTGTAGCTCATATGATCGAGTGGCTGGTGAGTGATAAGCAGATGTAAACCTTTAATTATTTCCCATGGCGTATGCGTCACGTTCCCATCAAAGCTATCCATGCAGTAGGCTCTAGAAACATGGGACCTTTTATAATTTCCAGCTCACATACGGAAAAAAAGGAACCTTATTTTGATCATTGGCAATTGAGAAGACAAAGATGAGATGAGTAAGCTTCAATCCAAAGCCCGTTTGAGTCATGACGAGATGGATCCCTATACATAAAAAAGAAAGAGAGGAGGAGGTAAGAAGAAAAACAATTCGCCCGGTTCCACGAAAAGAACTAGAAACGGAGCATAAATGCGAAAACGGAAAGGTGTGGTTAGGTCTCAACCGACCGAGATTTAACTAAGTATTAGTTAAGAGATATAACATACTAGAGAGAAAAAATAACTGATTTTTTTGTTTTTGTTTTGCACGGATCTTAGTGTAATATCTCACGAATATCACACGATTTTGCGTGTGCGGTCCGGTCAATGTCCGTGGGCGTTTGAACGGAGTGGGATTCAGTTGAAACCGGAGCGGTTCCAGTCATTCCGCCCCCACCGTCCGCCGTGGTAGGTGGCTCTACCCGTCGCCTTCATTTCCATCCCCTCCCCTCCACTCCCCGTGACGGCCGCGACTGACTGACTTGGCCGCCCAATTCCTTCCACGCGCTTCGCTCCCGGAATTTCCTCCCCCGCTCCTGCTCCTGCTCCAGTCCGTCAGTCGCCTCCGCCTCTAACCCTACGCTCGCCCACCATGGAGATGGACCACCTCGCGGGGAGGCTCGCCGCGGCCTCCGTCTCCTCCCCCGACGACCCCGCCCCCGCCCCCGCCGCGGGAAACGACGGCAGCCTCCTCGACGTCATCCGCGCCGTCGAGCGCGCCGAGGGCACCATCCGCGACCAGGTCAGCCACCCCTCCACCTCCCTCCCCGCTCCCTCACCAGCTTACCCACTCTGTATCCCGCTTCAATTCCATCGATTATAACTACATACTGCGCCGCGGCGATCCCCTTCGGGCTTCGGCTCGCCGCTGAATTGGATCGACCGCCCGCCAAGTCAGGCGGAGACGGCCGAATCGCGCAGGGCCCTCTTCACTAGTGGATTACTACCAGTTACAGTACATGTGTGCACAATTTGTGCCCTATTGCCTGCACAATCTGTTCCACTTCCTACTACTGTATGTGCGTACTGTGATGTGAGCCTTCAGAAAAACTGCGCTGACTGCAGATTATTTATGAGTAATTAGCCACGCATGTGGTTTGCTGAACCGAACCAACCAACGCATGAGCTCAGCTGATTTTCGGTTTCCGGTGTCTGTCTGTCTCTCTCACCCTAGTTGCAGGAGAACAGCAGGCTCAAGGAGGAGCTCATGAAGAAGACGCGGCTGCTGCAGAGGGTCGTAAGTGCTCACACCCCACCCCACCAATCATTCATCCACCCATCCCCCTTTTCTTCGCCGGGGCACGCCGGCAGGCACAACGAATCCTTCCTATCACACTGCTGTTGCTACCATAGCATGACTATATGAATGAATGAATGAATGAACATATCGTTTTTTGACGTGCTCTGTTCTCTGTCGATTTGGTTTCAGAGCGAGGACGCCGCGTCCCAGGCCACTTTCGGTGGCGGCGGCGGCGCGGGCCAGGAGCCCAGCGCAGCTTCCGTCGTCTCCAACAAGATGGACGGCACCAAGCCTTACGACGCCGCTGCTCCGGCGAACCCGCGAGGCGCCTCTGCTCTCCGTCAGAACGGGGTTTCAGAGGGTGGAGGGGACCACCTGATGCATGAGCAGAGTAGACACAACAAGTACCTCCACAGCGGCCAGGCTAACGGGGCGTTTAGAAGGGAGCCGGCAGGCATGGACAATGGTGGACCATCGCACTTCTCCACTCCGTCGTCTCGCTCCATTTCTCCCACCAGGTAACTCCAGCACATATATATGGTGCTTGTTTCCTTAGGAGTTCTCTGTCTTAGAAGGAAGGGCCTTTTGGTGGCAGTACTGAATGAATAGTAAAAATCCCTTCGCACAGGCCGAGAAAAGAAGGCGATTATGATTCCAGACTCAACTTATCTGGACAGGGGCTACTGCCTGTTTCAGAGATGAACTCAAACGTGTCCTGGAAGCAGGTCAGTTTGATCCCCTTGCAACACCATATGCATCCACATGACCTAACAACGTTCCTGACAAAGATCGCTACTATGCAGGACCTTACTGTTAAGGTCAGAGAACACGAAGAAGAGATCACACAGTTACGGAAGCATCTGGATAACTACATAATAAAGGTGAATATTTCTGCGCAGTGAAAAAGCACCCCATTCATGCTGTCTTTCCCTTTCTATCTTGTACCTTACCGCGAGCTACTGCTGTTAGGAAGCACAAATACTCAAGGAAAAATCGGTGCTGGAAAAACGCATCGCTTATATGCGTGTGGTAAGATATCTGCTTTATCGCAATTCTTTAGTTCCTTTGGTCCAGTACTCACCGTATTATCTTTAAAACGGTTTTCTTTTTCAGGCATTTGATCATCAGCAGCAAGACTTGGTTGATGCAGCATCAAAGTCTTTAGCATATAGACAGGATATTATCGAGGAAAACGTCCGCCTAGCATATGCATTGCAGGTACTTTTCTGCCATTGGACTTTTTCCTGACTAATGTGCTTGATTTGAATGGTTGCCAGATGTTCTATCTTTGCATCCTCAATTAGAGATCATTTTAAATTGGTGCTGATTTTACGATACCCATTTCAAATTGTATGAATTTCTCTGTATTCTGTGAACTGAATATTCTTATTGCATCTTGCTGTAAAAGATCCAGAATGTGTGTAAAAACATTTATAGCAGATCAGACAAGACGTTCACTGAAAGTTTATGAATGCATTTGTTATCTTAGTTGGGCCTGTGCCTTAGGATTGCAACTCAAGCTTCGCACGGGGATGTTGCACATAACCATGTTTCTCAATAACCTAAGGAATCTTTTCACCTTAAAATACTTATGCAGCTCAGTTGCTACAATGGTTAGATATGGTTTATGACCTATGAACTTGCAGTTTGAGAAACAGCTACTGCGCCAGAGTGCTTGACTGAGGGTAAGGTAAACAGAACACAATTGGTTCTGTCATTTTTACATTTTGGAGAGTTTTCAGATTTTACCATAAGATATTCCTTGTCTTGGACATGGAATTTTGTAGTTAGATTTGAGTTTTATTTCTTTTGATATGTTAGAATTTCTGTGCAGCTCGATCATTTCATCAGTACAAACTGTTAATATAGTAGTAAAGAAACTGAAATGATACTGATTTTTTGTTCTGTTACTATATAGACTGCACATCAAGAGAGGTCAATGTTCATATCCTCTTTGCTGCCAATTCTGTCTGAATATGAGAACCTACGACCGCCTGTCCCCGATGCTCAATCCATTGTTGGTAATTTGAAGGTATGTCTTGTTTCCCGACGTTTTGGCAGGAAGCCGTCATTGAGTAACTAGCACCTGAATATATTCATTGGAGTACAAGACCAACAAGGCCCAAAAAGGTTAAATGAAACTATATCAGTGCAACTAAGAAACATGGCACAACTTTTGATGGTGAAAAGCAACTTGAGCACAGTTTAAAATTCAGAACACGCAATCAAGCTGATTCTGTCTTTGTTCTGAACTGAGTTGGAAGTGGCCAGGGCCTGAGTTAACCATTTGCTGAATGTGTGTTCCTCGCCCTGCAGGTTTTGTTTAGGCATCTGCAGGAGCAACTAATGCTTACCGAGGTGAGCCACATGAAGCTACAGTAAATATGCATTTTGTTTCAGAAGCGCAATGCGCACATACTCTGTAGTCAGTAGTGAGCTTGTCGTGCTTGCACAGCTTACTGCTGATATTTTTCTTACAGAACTTTGAAGTTGCCTTGTGTGCAAACTTGGATGATGCAGGAGAAAGTTAAGGAGTCACAGTATCAGATTACCCCATGGCAAAATGAATTGCCAAATAAGGCCAGTCTTCCTGTACAGTCACCTAACAATCCTCTTGGAAAAGTATCGGTAACTTCGCTATAGCTCTACACTGCTTTTGTGATCATGTTGCAACACACGCTTCCTTCCTCTAACCTTTTACTTTCCCAGAACAAAGGCAGCCTTGATATTGTGCCCCAGACGCCATATCCTCAAGTACAATCTCCAATGTCTTCCCCTTCCCCTGTTCAAGCCAGAGGTAATTGGAAAAACCATCAAGTAATTCCAAGTGAGGTTCCTACAAGAATTATGGATCAAGATTACGGAGGAAGGACCGCTCTTTCAAGCAGGTAGTGCTTATTCTTTAAGAGCTTAAGTTACCTCTTGCTCTTTAACAGTGTTATCTACGGTAGTATTACAGTCGCATGTTTATTTATGGTAGTCATGCAAATACTTACTTAGCACCCGGACCACATCATCTATGTTAGTTAATTGCCCAGCAACATCTTGTAGTCATCACACCACCTGCCACTACTAGTTGCTGAAATGTCGCCTGTACTATTATTGAGTTGGTTATGAGTTATGACACCTTATGTGTCTATCAATTTGGAGGCAACCAAAGGACCAAGTAGTGAGAAGAGACCTAAAAGAAAGGAAAAAGGGGGAAGGCAACTCTGTTTTTAAGGCGTCCCGCCTTGGACGCTTAGGCGACGCTTAGGCGATAAGGCGCCCCGCCAGCGCCTTACAAATATGCCCGCCTTAGGCGCTTAGGCGTCCGCCTTAGGCGCTTAGGCGTCGCCTAGGCGATAAGGCGCCCCCCCAGCGCCTTAGATCGCCTTACCGCCTTAAAAACATAGGAAGGCAAGGGACAAAAACCAGGATCAATTCAGTAACTTCGCTGGTTCCACACCTTCAGGATAAGCAACGATGAAGAAAAGGCAAACCAGCAAGTGACAAAAGGGAAAGGCTGGATAAAAACAATAGTCATGGACACTCTTGAAGTTTGTTTTGTCCATGGAATTGATTAATGATCTATTGGATGATAGTATAATTTGGGAGAGCCATCACTGAATCTTGCAATTTCTTGGATAACCAATAATTGCGAAAAATTCATTGATGTGTCACGTGTGCACATTTTGCTTCTGCTTTTGCTTGCTTATATCGTTGTTTCATCTTGTTAACATAAACTGTTTGCTGGTAGGTTTAGCACATTTCTGTTAGTCTGTAATTTATCATATTATGTACACTTATTTAGGCATAACTAGAGTACTAAATGAGATTAGTAATTTATGATTGCAGCAACCAATTTAGGAAGGATGTTCCTGCTCAAGCGTCTCAACGTGATTCTGATGCTCTGCAGTTTGGCTTCGTTGCTCAGAACTCGAGCCTACCACTCGAGGGCCCTAGTAGAAGGTATGTCTTGGATGATTCTGTGGGCGCTGAAGATCAACATGTGCGAGAACCTGCTCAATGGGGTTCTGGAGACTCACCTAATATAGAATCTGGCCTTGAGGAAACAAACCCTTCATATCCTTATCTTCCTACTGTCCCTGAGGAGCCTGGTTCTTCTTTTTCTGAAGGTAGTTACTATTGGGTTAAGTTCATATACTCATCATAATTGTTTAGCATTGCATTCAGTCTGAGGATAGATGCCATTTCTTTCAATATGCAGCTGCAGAGGATGACCCATTGCCAGGCATAGATGGTCTTCGAATCACGGGTGAACCTTTTCCTGGACGAGACCTTCAAGCAAGTGGGTTCTCCATCAACGGAACCACAAGTTGTAATTTTGAGGTACGCTTCATAGTTCTTGTTGACCCACATTGTGAATAAAGATTATGTTCCTATCTCATCATATTTCCTGTTGGTTCAGATTTTCATTTTTGCAATTCTTTCTGTGTGCAGTGGGTTCGTCATTTAGATGATGGCTCCGTAAAATTCATAGAAGGTACTATTTTGTGTATGTGCTGCATAATAAGTGAATTTATGGTTTGTGACCTTGTTACTTATATCAGGATGCCATTATGTCTCACATAACCCCTTTTTGTGCGTGTGTAGGAGCAAGGCAACCCACCTATTTGGTTACTGCTGATGATGTTGATAATCTACTAGCCATTGAAGTCCAACCCCTAGACGACAGAAAAAGAAAGGTAATCAGTTTCTCATGTGCTGATCTTTATGCTGTATGATTTTCTTCTTCCAACACTTCTAGGAGTCCTGGGACTGGGACTGTGTATTTTTTGTTCTCCTTTTGAAATGACAAAAAAAAAAAAGGAACTCTTGGGGACTGGGAGCTTTATGATAGTGGTGAGAATAAAATTGATCATAGTGCCATTTTGATCTTTGTGAAAACATGCCATGAAGCTGAATATTACTACAAACATGCACTTAAGTTCATGGAAGTAGATCCAGCTAACCATTTGTAATTTTTCACTTCTTAACTCTAAATAGTACTAGGAAAAGCACACATGATGGTTCCCACCCACCAACCTTTTTTTTTCGATCTCTAAGATCTCAGATCTGATGAAGCTCAGGTAAATAGATCACTAGATATTTGCCATTAGTATCGATACTCTTCTTTCTGTTCTTTTTTTATATTTGTTGAGATCCAGAATATCCAGACAGTCCAGTCAGTATGAGAAAAAATCCTAGCTGTGTTTTCTTTTCTTAAATTTCTAACTTTATGAAATACCAGCAAGATGCTCTGGAAGCTGGGTTGAAATCTTGTAGACGGTTAAACCCTTTTCTAGAAAAACGATTTGCTTCTATTACTTCCAGTAATTAAATGTCTGAGTTTGTTTTGAAACCTTCATGTTTCCTATTGTAGGGTGACATCGTAAAGGTTTATGCTAATGATCAAGCAAAAATCACTTGCGGTGAGTATCGGAACTGTGAACATGCTGTTCCGCTTGCACTTTGTACGCGTCATAACTTGAGTAATCATCTTTTTTTGCAGATCCTCAAACAAAGGAACTCATTAAGAAAACCCTTGAAGTTGGGCATGTGTCTTATCAAGTCCAACTGCCTGTATGTTTCCTGCCCTTTACAGTTATCTACCAATAGAATTGTTACTGCGTTTTTTGCGATGTCCCAAAACTAATCGAAATGTTTAATCCCACAATAGCAGGTGAGATTCTTAGACATGTGGGAGCCAGCTGTTTTGGCAATAAAGAGGGAAGGTTACAGCATTAAATGTAACGGGCAGCGTGGTGTTGTTCTCACGGAGAAATTTCAGAAAGCAACTGCTGTATGTACCTACTCTTCAGTATTAGTATCGTTTTTCCTCTGAATGTGGATCTTGGTCTGGAACTGCCAAGGGATTCTGTTGGTTCTTTCGGAACTTAATTAGCACACTGATTTCCCCAAAATGGACTGAAAGAAAACCAGTGGTAGGCTAGGTGTCACCACTCACCAGTAATACCTGGCAAACATAAGGATTTTCGCTGGTTTTAGTAAATCGAACATTGTGCTGTTCCATTATGTATAGTCGTATACATGTATCTGTTGCCATATGTGCAACATAAGAAAGTCCGAAAAAGCAGCCACAAACTGGCTGTTTCCAGAGTTTTTCTGTGAGCAGCTGTGTTCTATTCCAGCTTACAGGATCCATCTTCAAGTTTCACTGTGGACACTGCAGTCGGAATTAGATTGTGGATCGGTCATCATCCGAGTTATTGCTTGCCACTAGTATCAGACTATCAGTATGCCCTAGTTGTAAGGACTAACATGTTTAAAAACCTTTCCTTCAGCATTCCCTTTCTATCGAACTGGTGACAGTTCTTAATTCTGCTTGGGCACTGCTTTCTTCATACCATGTACAGTATTTTTCTTCAGGAGATTGATACACTTCTGCCAAAAAATGTGGGCAGAACAACTGAAACTCATGTCACTTACAACTACATTTCCGTACACTAATTTATCACCAATGTTGGTTTCTGCAGTCGTGCTTTGGTTGTATTTTAACCAGCGTTATATTATGTGAAAATGCAAGCCATGGTTTATGCTTGATATTTTGCTGTTTGACATTTCCTTTGCCTTTCCGGTTCTGGTTTTAACGATATTTCCGTTTCACATTTTTGACCCTTGATTTAAACCTGTGCATCTTATTTCTTGTTGGGATATGTAAGTTGTGATCTAACAACAAATTTCATAATGTTTTTTTTCCAGATTAATATTCCATACGGATACGAGCGCCAGACAGAGTTTTCGATTGTGTCGGCTGATGGTGACGAGTATAATGTCCAGCCAGCAGACAATAACATGTGAGTGCCTCTCTGAAGAACCGCTTCATTATAAATAGCTGCAAAGTTTAAACACCCCCCTAACCTTTATTTAGCAGCATGGGGTTCTGGCTGGCCATAGTAAAACAACTTTACTTGTCATCGCTTTTTTAAAACGAAAATCTAGTACGCGTTTCAGTACAATCAAAACCATGTCAGTTTAGGATGAAATTCATTATTCAGAGTATGTTCTTTGGAAATTTAAACCAAACTTGATTGGAAAACAATATTCCGCCGCCATTATTATTTTTTAACCATTTCAGAAAAACAATATTCCGCCTGATGTATGACTTTCGCCCCCCTTCCTGTCTCTGTTTTGTATGACTGTTGCCACCGTGTTAAGTGTTTATTACTGACGAGGTTATGCGCTGTCATGCATACACATACTTATATACCGGTGTATTCAAACATTTTGGCAGGTCGCGGGATACGATTGTGCTGGTGCTAAGACTGTTCAGATCCATGGTATGACCTCATCCATCATCTCTTGTGAAAGCCACGCCGCACACTAACAGCACCATGTACTACTGTTATTATTTTGCATAACAACAAATATCATCATCAGTTTGTTTGGTCATCATGAAGTGATGATGGCCCCCCAGTACAGTACTGTATCCAAGCTCACACTAACATCTGACATAAGAGACTACCACTAACAAGAAGGTCCTAAAGAAGGTCACACATACCTGCTAACACGCTGGGCATGAGATCATGCGTTCCTTGAACCAACTAACATGTGGATACTATTCTTTGTGCAGGCCGTCGAGAAGCGGCGAGGGAGGAAGAAGGGCCTCTTCTTCAAGTAGAGTGATCCGATCCGGCTTAACGTATATCTCCATCTGTGTTTATTCTTCTTCGAGTCTACAGTCGACATAGGTCCCTGGTGGTGATAGATAGATATATAGCCTGATAGGCGCGGCGTGCTATATACATAATATATATTTTCGGTAGTATTGTATTTTTCCGTATGTTGTAATCGAACGCGGAAGAACCTGATTGTAAATGCTTGGTAGAAATGGTGGTGATGATAGGAGAATGGTTTCAGATGTTTTGGTAGGACACAAGCTTATCCAAATACGGAGTAGATGCTGTGCACGGCTGCCCGTCTGCATTG